GTTCAAATGGTTAGTTTAATAATATTACTTTATATTTTTTTGCATATTTTATCAGTGCAATAATATTAATTTATTTTGACACTTAATAGTATTTCACAAAATCCACAACATCTTCCTGCTATATTTAGTCTGTGTGCTATAGGGATGTTGCAAGGTGATGATACTCTGACTACTGCTGCATTAAGAGAGATGGTTAAATTACCTATTAAAGTTGTTGGTAAGAATTTGCACTTGTTAATTTATATATTACTTATCGTCGGACCTCCCTAAATGCAGGTTCTCTTGGAACATAACATAATTGCATTTAAGTACTGCCAATGGAAAAGGGAACACTCGGCATTATACTATAAAATTTTTCAAAGATATCTTAACAACCACTTGATCAAATTTAATAAAATTTTTTTATTTGAATTCTACAGATCTGTAGAATTCAAATAAAAAATTTTTTATTAAACTTGATTAAGTGGTTGTTAAGATATCTTTGAAAAATTTTATAGTATAATGCCGGGTGTTCCCTTTTCCCTTTGCAGCACTCATTTAAAGGTGGTCTACGTTTATATAGGTTGTTTATTAAATGTTTCATGTGCGCTTATCAAGGATGCATAGTTTGTAATTTATTGCAAGACGTTTAATGAGATCTAATTATCAAATTTTTCCGAAATTGAGCACTCTTACATTTACGGTATATACAGTCAAACCTCACTAGGTGCACTCCTTTGGGACTGGGGAAGTGTGTGTTTAGAGAATGTGTGTAGTTATGGAAAATTCAAATAGCCAATTAAAAGCAATACAATGTACGCGTGATTATCTCAAACCTCACTAAGTGCATGTCTTTAGAACCAAAGTAAGGTGTGCATTTAGAGAGGGATATAAATTCTATTATAAAATCCGTATTTATTGGTCAATATCACGTGTGTGCATTTACGGTGAATACACATATATGCCTGGGTTTCAGAAACTTGTGCGCTTGCAGGGAATAGAGGTGTGCACTTAGAACTAAGTCCCGAGCTTGGAACCAAAATTAAGTGTGTATTTAGTAAGGAAGTGCGCTTATAGAGGATGTATTTAGGGATGTTTGACTGTACCCCCTTATAAATCACACATCTTATTAAGAAAGTCTTTCTCGAACTTCTAATGAAAGTTTGGCAGTTCGGGGAAGATTTATTATTTCTTGGTTGTTTTTGAGGGCATTTATATAACATTAATTATTTACTTTATTGTCTGAAATCAAGACAAATTGGACAGGGGGCGTGATATAGATTTCATGCTTAGCAGATATTTCTTGCTACAGGTGAACAATTCATGCTTGGTTATACATATTACAAGTCTATTATCTAATCGATTTTTTTTTTTTAGAATTCACCTGAAGAAGCTACGCAATCTCTTTCTAAATCAGTTCTCCTTAGACCTTATGAACTAATAAATTGGATTAACTTATCAAATCATCTTATCTCTCTTTCGATTCCATTTACTTCTGCTTCGATAGCTGGTTCTGCAATAGAATTGATATCAAACCCATTATCTTCTTTATCTAAACAATTGACGACTAAAGAAAAAGCAAAGGTATATCAAAACTATGCATCTTCTTTGTTGATTTCTAGACGAGCAATTAAACAAGATTTAATCACAACTGGAGAAGATATAAGTGATAGTAGCATAATTAAAGATCCATTTGATGATATTGAGGATAATAATACTGAAAATAAAAAGGGCAAAAAAGACGATAAGAATATAGAGTTAAAAGAAGAATATGAGAAACTTGGGTTAAATGCATTAGAAGCCGCTCAGCGAGCTATCAGAATTGCACCATGGGATTTAGTTGGATGGTCTTTGCTTGACATTGCATATAAAGAAAGTGAATAAATTATAAAAACATTTTGCTTGTTTTGTATAATACTTTCTTAGTATTATATTAAATTAGTATATAATAAAATGTTTTAAATTAACTACAAATGGTTTACTATATATTGAAAAAATTTAAACAAATTTTTAATTTTTAAATTAAAATATCTTAACTATCTAACCAAATTAAATTTTTTAAAAAATTAAATAA